AAAAAAGGCCGTGCACTTGTAAAGCTTTATCCAATCAGAGAGAAGGGCTTTCGGCAACAAACAACGAGAGGAACATTCCGCAGTGTATTGTTTCTCCCCTGTGTCCCGCAAGTGATGCTTAACTCGTCGCCTATAACCCCTATTGTTTTTCCATATTTTTCGTTTCTATTTTTATTCGGTATGTCTGCTTTATTGAAATGTCACCGCTGTGGCCGGGAACTGATCCCGTGACCTAGTGTTTAGCAGCATACATCATCAGCGCAACTACCAGGGTTAAAAAAAAGTTAACGGTTAAACATTACTGAACGGACGGCAACATTGGCGCGTACTCCAGACGGCTGTCATGACACGTCCTGCCGTGGCCACGCCTTGGAAGCGCATTGCTAATTGTAGGGGCATACTATTTAATTAGTTGTGAAGGTGGTATGCGGTCAGCGCTTCCGTTTTCTGGGTGGGGTCTCTCCGGACTTTTTTATGTTACAAATGTTCCAAAACTGCACAACCTTATTCCAAGGCACCGAAAAGTTCAATAAGCATGAACTGGACCACTCGGAAGCGTGTAGTACAAATGGGCACATCACATTTAAAGCCGATCGAAGCAACACGTGATGTGGAACAGCCTTTCGTAGTTGTCGTATACAATTTTAGACGTGTAGTCTATATGAGCCATGTATACCATGCGGTAGACCTTATAGACCTTATGTGACCCCAACTGCTTTGCACCCCTCTCACACGGCGTTTCCTTAGGCCTTGTCGTTTTGCAACACCCAATTAGCGGATTCTCAGGTTATCTCTGGCTATATTTCAACATGGTGTTGGCATCACTGCACCCGTTGCAAATGACGCTCCCAGGTGGCAAGCCCTCCCTCCCTTTAAGCACACCACCTAGTTCCCCTCCTCCCCTCCAAAGAACAGGTCAACGCACCTTTCCTTCACAAGCGTTTTGTCGTGGTAATCCCATGTTTGCCGCCCATCTAATTGTCTTGCTGCGCACAGCTATGATCGTTCGCACTGCCCCAACACGCGGTTGCGTTATCCTTCGTGTTCCGAAATAGTCGGCCGTCCCGCTAATCTCTAGTGAGCCAGGCTGTGCGAGTTCTTGCATGCATGACGCGGGCCCGACTTGGTCCCTCGGCACTTAAGCTGAAAGGAAGTAGGCGCGAGCGAAAGCGAGAGAAAATAAAGCGTGATGAAAGATGGAATATAAAAAGAGCAAGTAACGGAAAGCAAGTATGGCATTGGTTTGCACTGCTCCTCTTTGTACGCATAATCGCATAGTGTTTCTGCGTCGTCTTGGTGTATTTCTGTTTTATTCTTTAACTGTGTCTTCGCTGCCTTCAAGAAAACATGTCTGACTGGCAGCTGTGCAAACACAGGCTTCTTTGAGTAGCGACAATGACAATGTTCGTGTCAGAGTGAAAACTTGACGATGAAGCTACAGCGGCAAAGTGCACAGACGCTAAAAACGCTGAACTTGCAGCTGAGTTAGACTGACATGAATCCTTCCGATGGACAGCAACTGCGCATGTGACAGAACCAGTGTGCGTCTTGGGAAAAATTTGATGACAAAAATCAACTATAAAAAAGTACCAGGCTTGAACAGAACGCGTAGCACCATCACAGCGAAAGCTGAAAACCTTTCTGGAGCTTTTTGAAACACGTTTAGGACAACTAGTATACAAAGCACACTTGCTTGCTACCTACTGCTCTATAAATTAGCTCCGCCGTGGTGGTCTAGTGGCTAAGGTACTCGGCTTCTGACCCGCGGGTTGTGAGATCGAATCCTGGTGGTGGCGACTGCATTTTCGATGGAGGCAGAAATGTTGAAGGCCCGTCTGCTCAGATTTGGGTGCACGTTAAAGAACCTCAGGTGGTCGAAATTTCCGGAGGCCTCCACTATATTGTAGCGAAACGTCGGGGTTGTTCAAAGTTAGGCGCATCGGACGACCAGGGAGACGAATAAGTGTGGGTGAAACTCCGCGGAGGCAATCGATCAGACGTCAACACGATGATTTCGGGGAGCACTCATTGGGGGTTTATTTAGCTAACACAACTTCAATTTACAAAATGCACTGGGTCACAAAGACAAAACATAGAAAATGGTGGCATACCCCTCGGCCTGCATGGCCTGGTCCCCGGTGGTGAGATCCGCTGTTGACCCCGACTCCGCTCCGCTTTTCAAGTTCAAACATCCTCTTTTTAACCCTTGGTCGAACAAAGAGTCTTCACAAAAACCAATCACATGTTGGGACTCGCAGCATCACAACCAATCACAGAAACACTTTCATAAAAGGCACTACATTTGTAAAAACCTCCTTACCAAATGAAAACACGCAAAGGGGAAGGTCCTCCGCACGTGACACTCTCTCCCATGCCAGGCCGTGCTGCCCAACGTTACTCGTGCTGCCTACTTCGGCCGACTACCGTCGGCGGCCGTTCCCACGCTCGGGCCCCGTCAGTTGTTTCATTAACTGTTGCTTCCTAGAAGCGTCCTTAAGAGCGATGGGTACACCATTGCTTACCAGGTGTACATGCGACAGCGAGGCGCCCCGACATCCTAACAACAGCGCGAGAGAATGTGGTCGTTTACTTGCCGCCACTATGTCTCGGTCAGGCTAAGTGGTCGCGTCCCCATGTCATTCTCAATGACACGCGTGCCTGTTAACAATGGCTTAGACTCAGAGGGTGGCGCCGGACCTGCCTCTTGCTAGACGCTTTTCCTAGTAAGCTTTCCCCTTCTAATCCCGAACGGGGGCGACCTTGACTGCTCGGTTTGTGAGCCGTAAAAGAACGTTTTCCGCGAAACTTTGCTCTCGCGACAATATAAGGCGTCTCTAACAATTACATAATGGTTTTGAGATGTTAAACCCCACTTGTCAATGAAATCAGCGCTATAAATTATATCGAGTGTCTACTTATGCTATTATTCGGCAATTGTCGGAGGAGCGTGGTACGCGCGCCACGCACTTGTGAGGCGTTACGAGCATTTTGTTCATGTTGTGGGTGATGACATGTATCATGGTGTATCATGTCGTGTTAGTTATACTTTTTATTCGCTGCTGCCTGTACGGTCCCCCAGGTCCCTTCAAGCTGTTTTCAACAGCTTTTTTGCCTGGGGAACCCCCAACTTTTTTGTTGGAAATAAACCCAAACCCAAACCCAAACAATGAATGGTTTTGTAATTGGTGGGAGCAGTCAACTACCTATTCTACGCAGTTCACACTGTGTGATGCCTGGTGATTTCTTTGCTGTTCTGAAACGCTTTATTACACATGTTAACGTGATTCCTTATACATAGAGCTTGTATAGGGTCATTTTGGAATGAAGTGTCAAGCACCGATTGACGAAGCTGCTCAAGTGCGCTGTGATGTTTAAACTATTGACCCCGCGCCGCAGTGGCTTACTCTTCTGAACGCTTGTGTGTGTTAGCCCGATTTTTGAAATACCTCTTACAGATTGAAACAATGTGGGCGTCCTTTAACTTGAAATAACTCTAGTGTGACGAACTTTGTTGTGCACAGCTCGCAACATTTACAACTAGTGATTCAATGCATAAATAAACAAAAAGCACCAGCCTACCTCAATGGTAGAACACAGGGGTATCACATAGAGGACCCAGGTTCCAACCTGGTTACATCGCCTATTTAGTTTCTTTATCTTATGTCGCGCGATAGTGGTTACGAACACCAGCGGTGGCCGCGACGGACAGCTGCGGCACCCTTGTTGCGATCTCGATTAGCTTTTGATCTAAAACGAAAAAAAACAAGATTTGTCTTGACACTTACTAGTTGAGAATTGAAATAAATATGAATGTAGGCACTTGCAGAAGCTGCGTCTTTCTTCGTGATAACGTACTTAGCCTGAAACCACGCATAGTGTGAGCTGTGATGATGGAGAACGAGACTGGTTGTTTTTTATCTCGTTCAATTGACAGCATATAAACAATATAACATGTGCTTAGAGGTGGTATTGGTTTAAAACAATTCCTAACTGTATTAACTGATCAAGAAAGAAGACATGCTGTTTCAGGTACTCGAGTGTTGTGTAAACCAGTGTGGAAATGGATTCTCATTTTCTTTTTTTTTGCTAAAAAACGTTGGCGAGTAATTTTGTAAAACTAGAAGCAACGCACATACTAACTAAAAACGGCCTTGTAAGCCTTGCAACGCTCCGTTGCAGTTAAAAGGCTACTTTAAACTTCTAGTGAAACGAGAGGTACGCGTGAAGTTTCTGCTGCATTTGTTTTTGTGTTCAGCCGTATGTAAAGTCTGTTTAAGCACAGTAAATTGATTTTAACATAAACGCGGCATTTTTGCAATTGAATTGTACCTCTCGAAGAATAATGAAGTGAGCGGACTTTCAAAAATGTTAGACTTGACAATCGCCCGTTGTCGGAGAAAAGGGCCTTAGAACAGCGGCCGGGACAGTCTTCGGCACGGAAGGCTTTTGAATGTGGATGCGTTTCTGGAGGACAACTGCTCGTAGAGACAGACTTAAAGCATTGTCGTTTACCGTATTATTGTTTTTTATTCCTTCCTTTATAACATCTATTTTCTATCATATCTTATTCTCCTTACGCCCTGCCGCACAGAAGGTTTCAAGATGGTGCTGAAAATCGGCTAACCCACCTGTCCACCCGTTCTTTTCCTCCTCTTTCTTCGCTGAGAACATATTGCTCTGGATACTGTACAGCGAACAGCAAGAACTTGCAAGACGTGACATTTCAGAAAAACGTATATTACTGCTTTGCCTGGGAACATAGCATCCGAACAAACATTCTAGCCTGTCGCAGTTATTGCAACCTATACATTCACCCGCTAGATTGAAAACGTCATTCAAAAGGAGAGCAAAAATTTCCCGAAGCCTGCGTCCTGTTTGCTGTTGGGTGTACGCACCACACACTTTGGCTCCGCATCATTTTCTCTTATCTTTTTTTTTCTCATGTGTTCCTTGACAAATACTTACTTGCGTCTTCATTTTGATTTCGCTTCCCTCTTCAGGGAGGTGTGGAAGGCGCTACTGCTCGGCCAAGTTCTCTCGGGCCTCCTGTGCGGCACTGGAGTCACCAGCCAAATCCTACAGTCGCAGCACAACCTGCAAATCCCCACGGGTGAGTGATACAATCAAGGCTGCTTGGCTCCCAGTCCGTTACAGCAGACGCTAAGGGGCAAGTAAGCGGTTTCCCATCTTTAGCGTAAGCTGCAAGGAACCATTTCGTTACTTTTCCCTAAAAAAAGAGAGAGAAAAAAACACAGTCACCTTCCACCCGCATGTTTCGCATAACATCGATTTCCAGGGCACGTTGGATCTGCTGAATTTTTAATTTATATCACCAAAAAATCAGTGAGGCCTGTAGTAAGCCGCGCAATGCGTGATACAGTGAAACTGGTTCTGAAGACTAATCTGGTTTGCTTTTATGCCGTTGCTAGGTGATGCTAGGTTGTTTCTGTGTTGATTCTCAGCGCAGAAAAATTCGAGATTAGTCGATGAAAGTCATACGCACGAGATATGCACATCGGCGTTGGCTTTCAAACACTTAGGGATATCTCCGCAGCCACCGTTGCCTCTCCCGTTTCCTAGCATCTCCTCGCTGTACGTAGTCGGAGTGTTTGGCTCTTGTTTTCGCTTCTCAGCCATTTGTTGGCCTAACTATAGAATATAGAATGTATATAGAATGTAGAATGTGAATATAGAATGTTTGTTGACACTTTCCAACCCACTCCTGTAAATATCCCTGATGGGATTGACAGTATTGTTAAATAAATAAATAAAATAAAACTGTTGTTTTGCTCATTTGTAGTCAACCAGCGGTGCGTAGTGGTAGTCACCCAATTTTTGTGGCACACACCCGTTATTTACTGGCTAACCTCCTTGTCCTTCCTCCTCCATTTTTCCTCCTTCTCGCCTTCCGTTTTTAATGATGATAGTGTTTTGTTACGGGGTGAACAAGGAGCGAATTATGAGAGATGCTGCAGTGTAGGGCTCCGGAAATGCTGCCGCTGCGGCTGAGGTTCGATCCCACGATCTGCAGGGTCTATGGTCGAAAACAATAACCACTTCGACCACCATGGCAGGAATTCCTTATTTCAATAGGCTAGCTGCTTGAGCTCCCGTAATTAGTATGCCGTATCACGATTTACTGACTCACTATCGGTCCACTATAAAGCTCCTCCCCAGTCCTAGTTACGATAACACTTGTACTCCGTGATGAGTAACTGTCGTTTTGGCTATGAAGCTTCTAAGCAATAATAGATTTGCAAAAGCTACAGTCGCCTGGTAAAGCAACGCAGACCGATAGTTCGAAAGAGGAGCAACAAGAAATGCTGGTGTCTGAAGATGAAACCATGGTCGAAGTATTTCGTGGCAGGGACGAGCGTGAGGAGTTCTCCAGAGTTTATATTGAAGGATATTTTTATGATGATGACTATGATGAGCACGATGGCTGCGATGATTAAGCTTCCTCATGACAGATGACCTCTCCTTAATAATTGCTGTCGTCTCACTCATACTTACGTACTAGTAGTTGGCTAAAACGTCGTAGCCATCGGTTGAACTTAGCTATAGCGCCCTAACACTTCGCTACAGCCTAGCAAGAACCTAAAAGAAATCTATCCAGAAACAACCTTCGCAAACTGTAGTTTACTAAGGTCTACAAATGACCTAGAAGCGACGAGGTTAGCTTGCAGAATTGTCCAGTTTTGCTGTATCAAGTCTTGCATGGCTTAGTGCTCAGTGCAAGCTTCGCCAATGCTCGGGTAGGTGGGACATGAACAAGGTGTCTTCACACTTCTAATTGGTCGTACTGTGCATTGTGCCTGCATGCATTCAGTCTGTCCTGAACGCTACTCGTTCAACGGCTTTTTTTCATATAACGACTCTGGCTTTGTGATGACGGTCGTACACTTCACTTAAATTTGGTGTTTTTTGTTCCTAAATATTTTTTTGTTTTAGTAGTGTTTCGTCCTGTGTTTCGCGAAGTCTTTGTTGTAGTAGCGCTTCTACAATGATGAATTTTCATGTTGTTTTTTCTTATTGAAAAAAAAAACCTTTTAATTGCTGGTTCATCGTCGTCGTTGGCTGTCGCGCTGCTCTCAACCATAATCAGATGGAACTTGACAGATTTGCTTGCGAAGTGTTGAAGCGCAGTATATAGACACGGCATTCAGCCGTGTTGTTACAACGCCGACGACGCTTCTTCTCGAATTCAGCGCAGAGCTTCGTCAACTACGTGCTGCTGTGTGCGGTGTTCACCACGTGGCTGGCGTGCCGTGGCGGTGATGCAGGCCTCATACCTGTGCTCAGAGCCCGCGGTGGACGCTACTTCCTCCTTGCGTTGGTGGACGTCGAGGCAAACTATCTCCTGGTCAAGGCCTACCAGTACACCACGCTCACCAGCGTACAGGTACGTCCCCGTGCGCTTCCACCACTTTACGGTGAAGGCTGTGTATGGCTAGGCGAAACCAAAGCCGTACGTTCGCCACAAACAGTCATAAGAGTCTCCACTGTGAGCGCCGTGAGTTACGTCGTTATCTGCGTCGCACCAAAGCATGCGCGCCATTGGCAGCAGCGCCGTTAGGGAAGCCATTGTCTGCGTCGTGCCCAAGCATGCACGCGTGCCATTGGCTGCGTAGTTAGTGACGTCGTTCATCGTTTCGCAGCCGTGCTTCCGAGCTCGCGTGCAGGATCGTACAGACGCCCGACCAGAAGACACGTTTTCAAGAACATCGCTGACAGCTGATGCGTGAGAGAATTCATTTTCGCCGGGCCGATGCAGCAGTGTGGGCACAAGAACACGCATGGGTGGCGAAAAGTAAGCAGAAACTGCGCACCGAGGATCCGGCAGCTTACCGAGTTAAACGCAAGCGACAACGGCGAGCCGATGAACCGGCGTTGCGGACAGAGCAGCGTCAGTGAGGCGATGGCGGGAACGCTCTCGCTGGGGACAGTGCCCGCTTCTTCGACTTAGGCTGTGACGTCTGAAGCCACCTGCGGCTGTACGTTTCAGCTTCGCTACTTAACCATCTGTACGGAGTGCTTGGGTGGTGATTTTTTAAGTATATGCACATGTCGCTAAGCAGCGGTATCTTTGCTCACTATCCATGAAGGGCCCCAAATGCGACGTCGGCAGTCACACTCCAGGTCACATTTCCATTTAGCTATATTTATTAGGGGTTTTGTATAGACCAGTTTTTTAATTACTTGCAAGGCGCAGCCATCTTTGGGAGTGACAGCTGATTACGTGGAACGGACGACTACGCTGTTCTCCACACATGATGGCCGCCAGTGTCGACTCGACATCGTCTGTGATGTAATTATCCCGCGCCTTCTACGCCAGCCTCATATGCAGATGACAACTGTGGTTAAGATTACATATGCTTGTTTTAAACGTGGGTGCGAGTGTCAAAACAATCTGGCCTATATAATAGAGGCCTTTTCAGTGCGACACATACCTAGCGGCACTCTTGATTCTCTCCGAGATACGTCTATAGTCGAGCACTTCCAACTTCAAGCACTTCCAAGTAGGTACAAAATTGATGGTTATGATTCATTGATTTCAGTTAAGTTTATACATATGAGATCGACACATAATTATACACAATGACCAAAAGACTGTCCGGATGAATAATAAGAATTAAGTAATGGATCAGATTCACCTCGTCAGTGCGACAAAAAATGAGTTTATCCGAAGTTCAAATAAATGCCAGACAGCCACTACCTGACAGGTAAGTCAAGAATTACGGTCGTTTCCTATAGTTGTTTTTCATTGCGATATCGAATATGTCACTTCAGCAGCGGGGTGTGCAATTGTACGCATCAGCTGCGCAGGCACGTCACGCATTGCGTGTTTCATCATATGGCTTCAAACGCATTTGCACGGGCTTCTTGAGCGAAAAGCTAGAGGTCATTTATATTTTACTTCGCTTCGATTACCTTGCTGGAGACACCACCATGTTAAACAATAGTTCGACGTACCGTGTTCCAGGACCAATGTCGAGAGCTTTACGTTTCTTTGCTCGAAAAGAATACAAACAAGGAACAAACTAGGTTGCATTTCGAGCCTTGTATTTGATTCTTTTTTACGCAGGAGTGAAGACTGACTAATTGCAAAATAATTAGACATTTTCTTAATTCAATTAGATACCTATGCATGCTCCTGGGAAACAGTTCAATACGCGACAGTGTTAGAGAGCTCGTTTCGCAGAAATTTCAGCGTCGGCGTCGTTTGTTGTGAGCGAAAAATCATCTTGTGCGTGACCGAAAAATTGAGAAAGATGCAAATGAAATGAATGATAAAGGTTCTGAGTCGGGGTGTGGATCGAACCCTGTCGCTGGGGTGGCATGCTGGCCACAGAGCCACGCGTCTGATCGTAGAGACAGCGAAAATGACTTCCTCTGCTTGCAAATGCACTGAAAGTAAGTTTCATACTTTACAGACACACGCTTCTTGTATACATGATTTCACAATACAACATGAATACCGCAGTAATATGCGTGATAAAAGCGTACATTGCCATCTGGCGTCAGAAAATTTGGTTATCATAATGACTTCATAGTTTTAAGCCGGTCCCCACTACATAAGGCACACACATTACTGCGCATATTCCCCAAAGGCCACGTAGCAGGTGCATAGTAAGTTTGAAAAGATTTCGTACACAAAGTGGTTGAAGCACGCACTAGGGACACGATATCGCTATCGCGTTCAACTCTTAAAGGCAAACCTTCAGGATCCCTTAATTTTTAAATGAGGCCTTCTGAGTTGTTGCACAACCTTGTGCACTTGACCCGGTGTTGCACCATTTCCTATATCGGTTCAGGCTGATGCCATCGAATAACGTCGCCAGATGACGTCTTAGAAAAACGTCATTGATTATATCATCAGGGCATGACAGCACAGAATCACTGGCGCCCTTTCATCATTCACATGCCTTTAGGTAACATTCCTATTCATGCCGCTGGCGGTCATCGTCAGTGGACAGTCGGTATGGAGTTCAGCCCATAGATGTTTCGCCTTAACACCGCAGCTGCTGGACTGCTTCACGATTCCGGTGGTGCTGGCGTTGTCGTGGCTGGCGCTCAAGGTGCGCTACCACCCGGTGCACGTGATGGGCGTCAGCGTGGCGCTGCTGGGCGTCGGCTGCCTGGTGTGGGCCGACGCGCACGAGGCGTCTCACTCGGCGGGACAGGCGTCGCCCTCGGCCAACCGTCTGCTGGGCGACATGCTCTGCCTCGGAGGCGCCGCACTCTACGGCATATCCAACGTGGCGCAAGAGGCCTCCGTCAAGCTCTGCGGCACCGTCGAGTTTCTCGGCGCGGTGGGACTCTTCGGGAGCGTCATCAACGGCATCCAGCTGTGAGTGGGCTGCCGTTCTGCCATCGGCTGCGAAAGCTTTTGATTGCTCGAAAAAAAAAAAGGCCAAGCGTGTTTTTGCATGGTTGCGCTGCTGTCGCGTGTGTCGACTTCATTTATATATTACGAGCTGTTATTGTGCTGGCGTGCCTTTTGCTTTGACTATGCTGTGCGTTGCACTCAGGTCTGGAGGTTTTCTGTCATTTTGATGAAACGACGAGAACGAAAGTACTTCATTTGTTGAATGAGAGCTATATAGCTTCAAGGTGTCGGTGTTGATGGCAGCAACCACTGCGAATACTGGTCATGCAGATTGCAAAGCATTTCAGTGGTTAATAAAGATGATAAAAAATTGTTTTAGTTTTAGTTTCCTAAAATTGTATTACTGAATGATCGGTAATTGCTATATGGGAGGTACCAGGTTCAATACCCTGTGCCAGTCGGACATCCAACGGTTTATCAAGGGGTGGAGGAGCCACCGACCTGAAACTCGGCTATATCCACGCGCCTATGTCACTGGCTGCCTACCAGTACAACAGGTATACATGCGAACTTCGAAGTGGTGCTACCACAATAGGAAGATTTAGTCTCTTGGTTAAAACGAACACGTACCCCAATATACTCCCACGTTCTACAATACACCCTTCCGAATATCACGATGTGCACCCCTGGTGCGGAGGGATACTAACACTTACACACATTACATACAATTCCCTCGCGTCCTGTTCCGGCAAGCTTGACGCTCATACAGCTTCCACATTGGTCGTGGGAGGCGTGACTTTCAAATCAGGCATTGGGAAGCCACCTGGTAACCCTGGACCAGGCCCGGTGAGCCGCTATAACCAGCGCAGCTCTAGATTAACGGACGCCACCTACTTTAGTTACTAACAGACAATACTAATAAACGTTATTTATCTCTCTTTAGTCGCTTGAGGGGCACCCCGCATGGGAAGCTAAAGCGGCATGGCAACATACAGAGTTTCTTAATTGGTTTGGTGTTGCTCCTCACTTATGTAAGCGATGATTCATAATTAATGACCGCGATGATTCATAATTAATTGACCGGAGACAAATAATAATTCATGATTGGTTCACAGTGGTGACTAAAATCTCAAGTAACCTTTGCAACGAGACACACCGTTCTCGAACGTTCCGTGAGATTACGCTTGTTACTTCTATGGTACGGGTTGTTCGTTACTTTTGTGAATATATTCTCTTCGTGTCTGATACTTAGTGACTGGAGTAATGAGTTTACAAGTTGCCATGATGGTCAAGGTTCCTTTGAGCGTTGCATAAATGGTTGCCAGACAGGGAGGGTCAGTGTTGCCTGACTGCCGCTAAATTTGACTGCAAATTTTTTTCTGTAGTTGTGGCTTCTCCGTGAGAATTTGGTGCCATTCGCGGTACATTTCGCGAACGAGCGACGCTGGCCGTTTTAATAAACGGAATGAACCGCGCCTAGCAGTAGTCGAGCGTGGCGCTGCTGTGCAATTAAGAGGCCGTTTAAATTTACTGAATGAACCGCGCATTACAGAATTCGTTTTATTTACAGAAAGAACCGCGCCTAGCAGAAGTCGAGCGTGGCGCTGCTCTGCAATTAAGAGGCCAATTTAATTAACGGAATGAACCGCGCCTAGCAGAAGTCGAGGCGCGTTCTCTTGCTGTGTGCGCAGCTGTGCGATTAAGATATCACATCTCAGTATTAAGGGTGACGGGGAAAACTGAATAGAGTCGCAGGAGGTGATGCGCTGCCCCCTCCCCCCTTGCTTCATATCGTTAATTAAATTGGCCTCCTAATTGCACGGCAGCACCACGCTCGACTTCTGCTAGGCTCGGTTCATTCTGTTATTAAAACGGCCAGCATCGCTCATGCACTCGCGAAATGCACCGTGGATGGCACCAAACTCTTACGGAAAAGCCACAGCTACAGAAAAGTTTTTCAGCCAAATTTAGCGGCAGTCTGGCAACAACCACCCCAAAGTCTGGCAACTGATTCATGCAACGCCAAAAGGAACCTTGCCCCACGATGTTGTGCGTGTGTCTCTGTAGCAGCCTGCACTGTGTCCACCTTACTCATTACTACATGCATGCTCAGATCGTCTGCCTTTAGCACATAGTTCTAGTGTTTCTCGTGTTACAGCTGCAAGAACTCGTTCTCACCGGGCGCGTGTCCCCTCTCCACCAAAGCTTTTTTCCCTTGGCATGCAGAGCGAAAAACGACTATTTAAAAGAGGCGCCCACCCCCGAAATGAAAAGTGCCCTCCCCCCACCCCGAAAGAAAATAATTCGGCAGATCCCACGTACCTGGGAATCGACGTTATGCGAAGCATGCGGAGGGAAGGTGACTGTGTTGCAATTTTTTTATTGAGTGACATGGAATGAAATTACACTAAATATATGTGCAAATTTTGCACGCACAGGCATATGTTGAAGAGTTTTGCAGATGTTTACATAACTAGTTGTTTGCACTTGCGCAACGATGCCAACTGGAACATGCGTATAACACCAGAAGCTGATATGAAGCGCTGATGCTCGCGAGGATGCTGGCCCTGAACATTGCTACATAAATCAACTTCAGCGCATGGCAACTAACCACAATTGACGTTATCCCGACGTGACGGCTGTATCAAAGGAGTACGTATGTAATGTTTATAAAATTGGTAGGCAGCACTGCAACCACAATAGGCGTTTCACAAAGATTAGCGTCTATTATAAAAGTAGTTCCGAGACCTGGCGCAGCTCTGTGGTAAAATGCTTCATTGCCACGCAGAATGCTTGGGTTTGATTCCAGCCTAAACCCTGATATTTATTCTTTGCCATCGTAGGGTCGACGCTACCGATGTCGGGTATTTATGAACGTTGGCGCGTTAAAATTGCTCATGTGTGTTCTCGTCGTTCCTGTGTAGATACTAAGTGTCAATCACCTGTGGCACATACCCACAATACCAGCGGCACATAGCGGCCCGTAGGTACACTTTCTGGCGGGAAGCGTTTGACGATGTACGTGACGGGACTGTGACAATATTGATGTCTTGACCAGCGCGTCATATTCTTTAAACCATCTAACCCTCCCATGCTAATTTTGGTTCACGCCAAGGGGGTGATAACGAGAGCACCCCAACGTAAGCGGCTAGATAGATAGATACGCTAAAAGCCGCCGAAGTTCGCTAAGAAATGCTTCGCATTTAAAAAAAAAGCATTACATATGTACTCTTTTGATACAGCGGTCACGTCAGGTTAACGTCAATTGTGGTTCAGTGCCATGCGCTGAAGTTGATTTATGTGGCAGTGTCCAGGGCCAGCATCTTCGCAAGCATCAGCGCTTCATATCAGCTTCGGGGCCGCTAATACGCATGTTCCAGTTAACATCGTTTCGCATGTTCAAACAACTGGTTATATAAACATCTGCAACTTTTCAACGTATGTCTGTGCATGAAAGGTTTGTGCATATATTCGGCGTCATTTCATGACGTGTCGCTCAATAAAAAAATTGCAACATTGTCACTTTCCCTCCGCATGCTTAGAGGAATGTCGATTCCCAGGTACGTGGGATCTGCCGAACTTTTTTTCTTTAAGTTTTTTTTTTGTTCTTATTGCGTGCGATAGTGGTTACGGACACCGATGGCGGCGGCGGAAAACTACGGTACCGCACGTGACCCACGTTGTGATATCTATAACAGCTTTCGCTGTAAAACGTTCTGCCTAGAGAGGGAGAAGGAATTTTTCTTGTGGCAGAAAAGCTATGGCAGGTCGGCCTGAATCCATTTTCCGGCCTGCTGCGCAGCGTTAGGCGAGGGGAGGGGGTGCGAAAGAAAGGGAAAAGAGAAGGTGTTACTGATGATGATGAGGAAGATGAGATGAAGCAAGACCTTAGATCATATTTATAGTTCTCTTGTCGAGTTCTGCCTGTCGTGAAAACTTGGTTAGCGCTTTCAGAATATCGCGCTGATGACGAGGCGGTGTTCCCAACAGAACTTTTTTCAGAAACTTGCTGCTCGGTACATTTCATCAAGACGGTGGCCATTGAATTACCTGGCGCTATATGTCGTGGGCACAAGATATGTTCAGCTGTCTCAGGCCTCACCATTGGGGGCATGGCCGATAACGTGTACGTAACGACGAGTGAACGCCACACTTATTCGTAACCGGCGCAATACGCTTGTATTGCACCTTTTCATGGTTGGCCGTAACCTAATGTGTATATCTAGGTCGAGTTCGTGAAGACGGCGGTGATGGTGACTTGGTAGGGACAAATAGGCTGCCGTAGTTTTACGGCGGAGTGTGTGCACAACAGTGTTAGTACCCAGTCGTGAAAACGAAGAGCCAATATTGTGGCGTTATTGTGAGCCATCTTTGCCTCCGCGTCGGCTTGCTCGTTTCCGTGTAAGCCGCAGTGCCCAGGAATCCACTGACATCTTATACGATGGTCCCTTTTCGGGGCTACATTGTGTGATTCAGCCACTTTTTGAGCAAGACGATAATATGGCCCCCGTTTAAGCGCCGAATCTATGACAGCAAGTGCTGGTTTAGATTCACAATATATAGTCCAGCTGCAAGGAGGCTTCGTCGATAAATAACGAATTACCTCGCGGATGGCCACGATCTCTGCCACTGTTGATGTTTTTTGATGCTCTAGACGAAAGCGTTCGCTGGTCTTTAATTTTGGAATGACGGACGCCGCTGTTGAAGCAGTGGGAGACGCAGACCCGTCAGTGAAGACATGTGTGGGAGAGGAATATTCTGTAGATATAAACGATAACGTGAGTATGTTTAGGCCACGTAAGGGTATACGTGATTTTTTCCCCTCTCTGGGAATGGATAGGTGGTGGTAATAGAAAACATTTAATTAAAGAAAATGCGCCAAAGAGTTGCGAAATATTGCACGCTTGTGTGGCAAGACCCTATTCCGTGATGCCAATGGAGTTGGCCGCTGCTCGAGCGCGCCTAACCAAGGAAGGTTGAGCATCCAAGGTCGAGCAGCCGAGCAGGTACTCCTCCCTAGC